TATTTTTTGCATCGGGGAAAGCTCAACAATCTTCCCATGTGAATTAATGATACTTGCTTTTTCAATTTATACCACCTCGGCTTAGGAAAGGTTTCATAAGGAACAACCTACTTTCAGAGAGAATGAGAAACATGTACTTCTAACAGTGCTGTCCTGAAGAAAGCTAGCCCTGGTTTCTGAACACAAATGGTTCACATCTTTACCTTCTCTGCTTTCATGATTTCATATTGGGTCCCTGAAATGAAGCATTTGTGGAGACTCCACCACAAAAAGGAACAAATGCTAAAAACTATAAGGTTTATGCTATAGATCCCACCATACAGTGACTGCTATAATTATGGCCTCAAATATCTTATCTTTTAAAGCTACTCAGAAAGGAAAATACACACAGAGATTGTAAATTTTACCGACATGTATCATTCCTGCTGATCTCTATTCTTTCTTGTGGATATGCATTACCATCTAGTGTCATTTACTTGCAGCTTAAAGGACATTGTTGAAAAGCAGGTGTCCTAAGTAGAAACCCTGTTTGGTTTTGTGTTTGATGTGTGGTCTTTGTGTATCTTCTTCTGTGAAAGACTGTTTTGCTGAATTTATAATTCTTGTTTGACGGGTGTTGTTTTTTTGTTTTTTTTTTTTTTTCCTGTGTGTGTGCAGGGAGTGGGTTTGCTTTGTTTTTTTTTGTTTTTTTGTTTTTTTTTCAGTATTTTTCTGGTGAAAACTCCTCTTTTAATCACATTCCTATTTTCCTAAATATAATGAGTTGTTTTTCCCTTGCTTTTTGTCAAGATCTCTTCTTTCTGTTTGTTTGCCTTTCATTTTATTTTTCAGCTGTTGCAAAATAAAAGCCCACATAACATAAAATCTACCGCATTACCCATGTTCAAAAAATCGACTACTTTCTTAGAGCGGTTTTAGGTTCGTAGCAAAACTCAGACATAGCACCGATATATGCTGTATTCCCCTACTGTCTATGTGTCAATGCACAAGCAGTTCATGGACTCTCTCATTTGCAAAAGCCCTCAGTGGGGTGGTCTAGGTTTACTCTTGATGTTGTGCATTTTAGGAGTTTGGAGACGTATAGAATGACATGTATCAACCATTATGGAGTTATACAGAAGAGTTTCACTTCCTTCAAAATCCTCTGTGCTCCCCCTATCCATCCTTCCTTCCCCCTAAACCCTGTCAACCACTGATGTATTTGCTGTCTGTATAATTTTGCTTTTTCGAAATTGTCATATAGTGGGAATCTTACACTATCTCGCATCTTACACTTGCCTTAACTAGATGATGCACCTTACCAATTTAAGCACACAGGTTAGGAGTGCTATCACATTGTTGCCCAAAAGGTATCTAGAACTTTCTGCTTGTAAAACTGGAACTCAACTCACTGAACAATAATTCCCCTTTTCCCCTTTCCCCTCAACCCTGAGCAATCACTCTTCTACTTGCTCTATCACTTTTACTACTTTGGATACTTCATATAAGTGGAATCATACAGTTTTATTTTTACTTCGTATGTATGACTGGCTTATTTCACTTAGCATAATGTCCTGGAGTCTCATCCATATTGTAGTAGGTCGTAGGATTTCCTTCCTTTTTCTGGCTGAATAATATTACAGTGTTATGTGTATACTACGCTTTCTTTCTCCATTCATCCATCAGTGGACATTTGGGCTGCTTCTATCACGTGGCTGTTATGAATAATGCTGCACTGAGCATGGGTGTGCACCTATCATCGAGATCTTGCTTTCAATTCTTTTAGTTTCCTCCATGTGGGATTGCTGAGCCATGTGGTAATTGCATTTTTAATTTCTTGAAGAAGCTCCATACACTTCTTCATAACGGTTGACCGATTTACATTCCCAGCAACAGTGTGTGAGTCTCCTCCTTTTCAACCTCCACACTGAAACATTTTTTAAAAATATGTATTTATTTATTTGAGAGAGGGAGAGACAGAGAGAGAGAGAGAGAGAGAGAGCGTGCACAGGAGGTGTAAAGGGAGGGAGGGAGAGAGTAAATGAAGCCAGCTTTGTGCCATCAACACAGAGCCCAATGTGGGGCTCATATCCAAAAACTGTGAGACAATGACGTGAGCCAAAACCAAGAGTCAGATCTTAACCAGCTGAGCCACCCAGTCGTCCCGACACATTTTTTTTTTATAGCATCCATCCTAGTGAGTATGAGGAGACAACTCATGGTGATTTGATTTGCATTTCTTTGATCATTAGTGATATTGAGCATCTTTCCATATGATTTTTCACCATTTGTATGTTTCCTTGGAAATATGCCTATTTAATTTCTTTTCCCATTTTTGCTTTGTGTTTTCAGTGATTGTTGTTGTCGTTAGTGACTTGTAGATTCCTTATATATTTTAGATATGATTCCCTTCTTTGATATATGATTTGCAAGTGTTTTTTCCACTCTGTCTTTTCACTGTTGATCATTCCCTTTAATGCACAGTAACGTTTTAGGTTGATATCGCCCATTTGTCTACAATGGACTTTTCCTTTGTGCTCTGTGGTTTTGGTGGCATAGCCAAGAAATCGTTGCCAAATACAATGTTGTTTATATTCCCCCATTTTTTCTCTGAGGAAGTTTATAGGTTTACAACTTATATTTATGTCTTTAGTCCATTTTGAGTTAATTTTAGTGTGTGGTGTAAATGTAAACATCCAGCCTCATTCTTCTGCATGTGAGTAGTCAGTTTCCAAACACCCTTTTTGAATGATTCTGTCTTTCCCTAGTGAATGGTCCTGGTACCTTTATCAAAACTGATTAGACTGATTATACATGGTTTGTGTCTGGATATTTTTAAGGGATTGTTTCCATGGGGGGTTTAGGGTCTGTCTCTTTCTGTTCCTTCATCTTGCTGCTTGTATCCCGTTCCAGTCGGAACTAGTGTGCTGGGCAGGGGTATGGATTCTGTGGTAGATAATGCGGCATAAGGCTGATGGAGATGGAAGACGTGTCACCCATCCCTGATTTTCACACTGACTTAAGTGACTTCACAATCCACTCTCTTCCCTCAAGTGTATTTCTTCGTCTGTATTTGCCAGTGTTCTTAGGTCATTTCATTATGATGTCATGAGACATGGATTTGTACGTGTTCATTCTGTTAGCAGTTTGCTAAGTTTCTGGTGTCTATAAATATTTTAAATGATATTAGTAAGTTGTTCATTCATTGCACTTTATGATCGTTGTCCTGTTTTTTTCTGCCTCTGCTGTTCTCATATACTACTTAGACCTATGCTGGCTTTCCTGATACTGTTTTGAAAGTCTCTGAATTCTGTAAATTCTTCTCTTTTTTCTGTCTCATCCAAAGATATAAATAAATTTTGTTACTCCTCCAATTTCATCAGTTCTTTTCTATTGCATCCCAGATTTTCTGTAGAGGAAATTCAGTGAATTTTCCATTTCAGGTATGTATTTGTTCACTCAGATTCTCTGTGGTTTCTTCATATACTTTTATTTCTCTGTTGATCTTTCCTACTTGCTATATTTCTGCCATCACATGTTCATGCAATTATTTCAACTAAGTTTTCTGTGTAGTTTACATATATTTATAAATATGACTTTTAAATACTTTTTTTGTAGTATGTACAATATATATGAGTTTTAAATACTTTTTTTTTGTAATATGTACAACAACTTATCCCAGTAGAAGTTTCTATTGACCTATGCTTTCCCTTTGTTGGAAGACATTTTCCAATTTCTCATCATATTTTTTAACTTTTAGATAGACACTTTTTAAAATATCATTTAAGAAACACGCATTATTTAATTTTTCCTAGATTTATTATTTTTAATTTTTTTCTTATGTTTTATTTATTTTTGAGACAGAGTGTGTGTGTGTGTGTGTGTGTGTGTGTGTGAGCAGGGGAAGGACAGAGAGAGAGGGAGACACAGAATCTGAATCAGGTTTCAGGTTTTGAGCTGTCAGCACAGAGCCCCACGCGGGGCTTAAACTCACCAACTGGGAGATCATGACCCGAGCCGAAGCTGGATGCTTCACCAACAAGCCACCCAACACCCCTAGATTTACTATTTTTTTGTGTGCAAAAACTTTATGGCAGAATCTTATCCACTAAAGTCCCCCTGCTGATAGTTTTGTTCAATTTTTCCCAATTCTTATTGCTTACTTTATGACCATGTGACTTTGTAGCTTTGATGTTAATTACTAGTTTTTTTTTTTAGAAAGGATGTGTTCAAACACTGCAGGTCAGTAGGCTTCCACCTTCCACAATGTGAGGTCTGCACACGTGTGCCTGAGTGTGGGAGGGGACTGTTCATAACTTTACTACCAATTCTCTGACCTCCTGTGCTCTTACATTCTCCTGGGTTCCTCTTAGTCTCCTCTCCATCTGCGCATATTTTCTCCATCAGCTAAGAGTGTTAGAGAGCCAATGTCAACTCTTCCATTATATTCTCACATCCAGTATCTTTGCATTGTATTTATGGGGCTCACAGTGCTTGACACAAACACCGCAAGCTCTGACCAGGACAAGAATGGGTTTTCTTCATCATTACCGAGCAAAATCAGCACTTGGAGCTGAAACATCAATGGGTACCTGTCCCCATCCTCAGTGCTGATCAGGTCTCCCAGCACCCTTGCTCTTTGCAGCTTCTCCCAGTTGTAACAGCTTCAGTCTTCTTATCACTGAGCCAGGGGTGGGCAGGTGGGGAGGCACGGGAGCATCCTAGGCGAGAAGATGACAAATGTGCTTCTGACTTGAATCTCCAGGATTTTTTCCAATGTACATATTTCATAAGTTATTAACCTGTGATCCATTTTCTAAACTCTGAAATTGTTTTCATGGTCAGTTTGTCCTCTTCACTTAGTCCTACTAAGATAATTTTATACTTTAGTGTCCAGTGCATAACGTTATAATTTGAAAGCTTCTATAAAGGAAGAAAAGATGAACTTTTATTTGCTTTTACAGAATTAATTGAGTATAAGAACTTGTATTTGACTTCTAATGAAATTTATTTTCTCATAGTTTTTGTCGAAATTACTCTCTTATACTATATGGATTAGAGGCTCCCAGAAAAGCCATCATAGTTCATCTGTGCAGCCAAAAGCCTTAACATTTTCTTCCAAAGTGTAAGTTTCTTGACAACTTTGTATTTTATGCCTTAAAGGATTAATCTTTGAAAGAAACAGAGCAATATGTGTAGAATCAGATAAACAGAGTTGTTGATGTTTTTCCATAGAAGAATAGTATGGGAAATATTCAGATTGAGGTATATAACTATTAGTCAAGTTAATGGTTTATTCAACAAAATACCCCGGTATATATTGTTAAGATTAATGAGGTATAATTCTTTCTATTTCAGGTTGTCAGTATCTTCAGAGAGTGACAAGAAATGCCCATATTTCCCTTTTTATTTAAAAAAAATTAGTTTTGCACCCTGCTTTAGAATGAGACTGTATGTTTGTAAGCACCAGGCATGTTAGTTGCTTCATTTTGGCATAATGCTATTTCATCATTTATAAAGAATACATCTCTCATTACTTTAAAAGCCATACAAGTACTGATGCATAGGGGCACTTGTACCCCAATGTTTATAGCAGCACTCTCAACAATAGCCAAATTATGGAAAGAGCCTAAATGTCCATCAACTGATGAATGGATAAAGAAATTGTGGTTTATATACACAATGGAATACTATGTGGCAATGAGAAAAAATGAAATATGGCCTTTTGTAGCAACGTGGATGGAACTGGAGAGTGTGATGCTAAGTGAAATAAGCCATGCAGAGAAAGACAGATACCATATGGTTTCACTCTTATGTGGATCCTGAGAAACTTAACAGAAACCCATGGGGGAGGGGAAGAAAAAAAAAAAAAAAAGAGGTTAGAGTGGGAGAGAGCCAAAGCATAAGAGACTGTTGAGAACTGAGAACAAACTAAGGGTTGATGGGGGGTGGGAGGGAGGAGAGGGTGGGTGATGGGTATTGAGGAGGGCACCTTTTGGGATGAGCACTGGGTGTTGTATGGAAACCAATTTGACAATAAATTTCATATATTAAAAAAAAATTTTTAAAAGCCATACAATCATTTTCTCTGCATATTTTTAAGAGATGGTTTTTAGTGTAATTTTAGGTTCACAACAAGATTAAGAGGAAGGTACAGAGATTTCCTATATTGTCCCTGTCTGCACACATCCATGGACTCTCCCATTATCACCATCACTCACTAGAAGGTTTCATTTCTTACCAAGGATGAGTCTGCATTGGGACACCTGGGTGGCACAGTCGGTTAAGTGTCCAACTTCGTCTCAGGTCATGATCTCACGGTTTGTGTGTTCGAGCCCTGCGTTAGGTTCTGTGCTGACAGCTTGGAACCTGGAGCCTGCTGCAGATTCTGTGTCTCCCTCTCTCTCTGCCCCCTCCTCCAATCAGGCTCTGTCTCTCTCTCTCTGTCTCCAAAATAAATAAAAATAAAAAAAATGTTAAAGGATGAATCCACATCAATGCATATATATCACCCAAAGTCCAAAGTGTACTTGAGACTTCGCCATTGGTGTCACAGAACTGTTTCTCCAATTTAATTATATTAATGTAAAAAAATATACTCAGGTATATATTACTCATTTCTTAAGCTTTTGCTGTTTAGTAAAACAAATTATATATAAGTTAGATATCATAATATTATTGTAAAATTCTGAATGAAGTGAGTAATTCCACTTACATTTCCTACTTAATTGATTTCTCCTAGCCCTTAAAAGTCCTCAAATGAGGATTGAGCAACCAGGGTGACAAAGGTATGAGTCAGAATTAAGGCAGGAGACAGAAACAAGGGGAAGTTGAGGTAAACAATTACTATCTGCTTGGAAGGGAAAGTCTACGAAGAGGAAAGCCTACTAAAATAAAGAAAATTACAAAGAATATCATAGAATTAAAGGACGGATCACTGAAGCCAGGTCTACTCTCTGAAGATGGGATTCAGATGCCATTGAAGACGATGTGGCTACACACAGCTTCACGGCTGACATGCTCACTGAAATGGCCTGGGACAGAGGAGCTCCACACTCCACGGCCTGAACCTGGTGAGGAAGGATCTCAGGCTGTGACCGGCAAACAGGAACAACTCCCTGTTAGAGCATCAAGAGAAAAGACCAGAAGACAGGAAACTGACAGATTGGCTCTAAGAACTTGCTGGAGGACGAATACACAGGACTTCTTGCAAGCGTGCACCTGGCAACAAAGCCATAGTGGCCAAAGGAGAGAAAATATCATGAAACCAGGAAGAAGAGCCCTTTCTGCTGCACTGTCTCTCCATTGTCTCTTACCGACAAAAGTCAATTTTATGCGAGATGACCAGAGAGAAAATGGATAGGATCTTACACCGTTATCTGAGAAAAGAGCACTGAGGGTGGATTTGGAGCTGAGAGTACTAAATGAATGGCCCCTCGGGATTATCATAGAACAACCACAGAGTTGGTGTATAAGAGCCATTCAGATCGGCCCCACTTCCTCCGAGAATGGAACCAAAGTGTACTCTCCCAATCTGTCTTGGTGCCACACGATCAAAGGTTACACTCATTTCAAGGTAGAAATTGGTTTCTAATTGGATAATAACCAGTGTCTTATATGTTATTTTCTTCACCTGGGTTCAGATATTTTGGAAGATATTTAGTTTTTTTAATGTTTTTATGCACACACTTCTCACAGTCTTTACAACAATGCAAAAAATAAAATAAAATAAAATGCTAAATAATGGAGAAAACAAAAAATTAAAATCGACAGATATTTGCATGGGTCCAACAGCTAGTTATTGCCAGAATTCAAGATAAACTTGAGTAAGTTGATAATGACTCAGAGGTGTTTCCAGCCCAAATCAATTACAAGAAGGAGAGAGTTTAAACTCGATAATTACTTGCAAAAGAAATTCATATTTCATATATACTTTTGTTTGTGGAGATAGACATATTCTTTATTTTCTCTGTACATAATCCTTATGCTCTTCTAGAAAAATTATATGAACATCCAATATGAATAATTGTTAATGGTAGCTGTAACTAATTACTAAAGTCGTGTTTCATACAACCCAAGATTACAATGACATTGAAAATTAAGCATTTATTTTTCTTTCACCTGTTTGTGGTTGGGCTATGATAGGGTTGATTGAAGCTGGGCGTGCATGCACTTGACTGCAGACTACATACAGATTCAGCTCAGATCTCTTTATAGATTTCATTCTTAGAGGACCAAGCTACATGGCATATGATCTTTTATACCAGAGGTAACAGCTAGCAGAAATGGGTTTCTTATTGCCCGGTCTCTGAATTCATAAGATATCACATTCCCACTCACATTATATTGTGAAAACAAGTGATCACATCCTTACATTATATTGTGAAAACAAATCACATGGGCCAACTTCTCATGGTTGTCTGTAGAGTATACTCTTTTCAAAGTGGTCTGAGGGAAGAAATGTAGATTCACTGAAAATAACCTAATCTAACATTGTAGCCATAGGGATTTTTTTTTATTACATTTCATGAGATAGATAAGCTTGTAAAAGAAAATTACTGGGAAATAGATTTAAAATTTAGTACTCTCTTCCCTTCCCATCTGGATTTTTTGCTTCTGTGCCCAAAATCCTTGTAAAGCAGTTTTGTACAGTGCCAAACATGGGGGTTTAGATGCTTTCACCATGGTCCTTGATCAAATAAGGTATAAGCAGAATGAAATAAAGTCTAAGGACATTGGCAGTGAAACTGGTCACTTTATGTAATTTCTAAGTGCACACTCTTAGCCCTGGGGCTCAGTTACAGAACTGCTCTGGCTCAGGTTCCTCTGAAGGAAAATATGATAAAAAGAGGATCTTATTCATAGTTACTTGAAGATTATTTGAACAGTACTTCTTGGCCCATAAGTATTCACTCTCTCTCAGGTATTTCGGCTTAAGATCTTGATGCTTTTGTGCCATCACCTGTGTTGTGATAATCTGAATTATAACACTTTCATAGGCTGTTCTGAGGAACAAATAATAATAAATAATATAATGCCTACAGATCCTTAAAATAAAGCCCAAGCACATGAAGGTCTTGCTGTCTGTGATCTCTTCATATTTTGCTTTTCCCAATGTTCAATAAAGGCCATTTTCCAATAAAACCAAAGCCATATAATTGTCTTCTTCTTTCCAGCCAGTGAAAGAGCCAGGCATCAGAAATGTAATTTGACAACAATTTTGATCATATACATTAAAGAAATTTGCACTTAAAAAAGGTGAGAAATTCAATACACATCATGTATGTGCACTAGAGTAATTTTTTTCCGTCTATATGTTTCCTGTTCTGAAATCAAGTTGGAATTACTGTTGTTTCCCTTATTAGTCAAGAACCCCAGTCTCCTCACAAAGTGTGTTATCTGGGCATATGCAAAGACTGTCTCTTTTGGAATTGAAGAATTTGAAAGGGATTGTTAAACTGTGACATGATAACCTGTTTGATTCCTAGATTCAGGGATCCTTCAGGGTCCAAGCGGAAGAAGGGACCTAAATGTCCTTTCCCTTCCAGTGTCGGAGTATCCCATCCACACATATGCATCTATTACCACTAAGAATGGAGAAATTTAAGAGATGCTGCTAAATACATTCTAATGTAGAACACCTCCCAATTTTCTTCCAAAGCATGTTTTACATGTCTAAATACATACATAAAACAGTGCCTAAATTATTACCTGTACCCCTAAGAAACCATGGGAATTATTGTTGAGCTTGGGTTATGGGATCCACAAAAACTACTGGCGATATATAAATATGGAACATTATTAAGGAGCTGCTAATCAAGAATAGATTGAGAATAGAAAGAGTCACAGAGAAGTCAGGGATTTAGGATCAAATTGGTAATTTTCTCTGTGTCTACTTTTGTGAGAATATCCATAGGTATCGAACATAATGGACTCGTTATTTTGGATTCCAGAATTAAATTACCCATTTAGTAATAAATTCAGAGGAAGATGTTGCCCTTTTATTTATTTTTTATTTTTTTTCAACGTTTTTATTTATTTTTGGGACAGAGAGAGACAGAGCATGAACGGGGGAGGGGCAGAGAGAGAGGGAGACACAGAATCGGAAACAGGCTCCAGGCTCCGAGCCATCAGCCCAGAGCCTGACGCGGGGCTCGAACTCACGGACCGCGAGATCGTGACCTGGCTGAAGTCGGACGCTTAACCGACTGCGCCACCCAGGCGCCCCAGATGGTGCCCTTTTAAAAGCGACTTTTATTGGAACAGAGCAGACAATGTATTCTTTGCAGGCAGCCATTGCCAAGGAGAATGCAGGAAGGACTGAGCTGTGTATCCGTAATCTCTTGTACCAAAGGTACTACTAATCTGAAAATTCTGTTTTCTGGTAATTAATGCATGTAGTTGGAGAGAAAACTCGAGGGACACCTGGGTGGCTCAGTCGGTTTAGTGTCTGACACTTGATTTTGGCTCAGTTCACTATCTCATGGATCATGATATCGAGTAGCTCGTCAGGCTCTGCGCTGACAGCACAGGGCCTGCTTGGGATT